GTTGGGGGGGGGGGCGGGGCAGGGGAGGGGGCTACAGCCACCCCAGAAATCCCTGTAGCCCCCATAGCCACTCCTCCCAGCAGCACTGCTGCCACTGCCTGCTCTGCTCCTGCTTACAACACAGCCCCCCATCAAATCCCACCTGCCAGGAAGAGGCTGACATCTCTGTTGCCTGCCAGTGCTCCTGGGGCCTGTCTCCATGGAAATCTTGGCCTTGAGCTATCACAATACAGCTGCTGCTGGGGTCTCCATGCTGCTGGGGTCTCCATGCTGGGAAATGGGGTCCACTGCTGGTTGGATCTGGCCTGCAGGCCAGACTTTGCCTTCCCCTGCTTTAGGAAGTACTACATGACAGCACATGGTTATTTTTAGCAGCTACGTTGCCGTAGCGACACACTATAATGAAGTAGCACGTCACTACAACAACATAGCGTCGGTGTCACAAGTTGTGCCTGCCAGTGCTACATCACCATAGCAACGAGCTACTCTGCCATAACGTGTTGCTACAGCAATGTAGCGTTTTGTGTAGACACACTCAGCATAACTGTTTCTAGGATGGTGGTTAGATGTAATAGTGGCATGTAGCCAGTAAAAAGGACATGTGGAGAATGCTTCTGCACAGGTTCAAGTACTTGCTTCCTGAATGGGGTCTGGATGTTATTTGCAGTCAGTCAGAAAGAACAACATTTAGTTTATTCTGTTTTACACTGGAGGCTGAATGGCTTCAGAATTAAGACCTTCCCCACAGTCCTAGATTACAAGCAAGAGAGTTATAAAGTCTGGCCCAGTAGGTATCATTTCTGGATATTTACACTTTAGAACTTCATAGCAGCTTGTTCCATCCATTTTAAATCTAGATACATGCCATGTTTCATTTATTTAACTATAGAGAATTCCAGTTATTAGTTTTAGCTCATGATGGAAGAAATAACATCCTCTCTTCAGTTAGACAAGCATTTTACATAGCATTCAGTAGCTTCCAACAGTGCATAACTTATAGGAACTAGATCACCTCTGAATAGTGTACATAGAAGCTGTCACACAACCATCTGGTACTGTTGTTGCCCCTTGTATTGTACCTTGCAAGACACTAAAAGTGGCACCTCCATCCCTTGTGGGGCAGTGCTGCTACATAGATATAATAGGAAGGACCTGGATACATATTCTTGGCAATTGTATGGCAGGAGTAGGAAAAATGCAGACCATCCACACTAGGAGGTCTACTGGTTGTCATTCTGTGACAATGGGTTAAAATGTTGGTGTGAAACATGCAGTACCCTGACGCAGAATACTGGCAAAGGAGTATTGAGACACAAATAGATTATGTTTTAATTCCATTATTCATAATCAATGTATTTGTCCTGGCAGAAATGTTGTACATTAAATTTTACATTCCTGATAATAGAAAAAGACCTATTTATATCAGTGGGGATTTGTTTTTGAACAATTTATTCTTACATAATTGGTTGACAAAAGTTGGAAAGACTTGGTCAGCTTCTGCACAAGTGCCAATTAAATGTTAAAACAAACCCAGCCTTGATGCATTTTTAATAATGTTTCTGTTTGTGAATGCAGGCACCGTGACTTGGTTGGCTTATTCTTTTAATTTTTGTTTCTTTCCCTCTCTGGGCTTTAGACCCTGATAAGTTTTTCCAAAAACAGAGACAGCAGGTAGTGCTGCTGAAACTGTGGTATAGCTTCATCAAGGATCTCTGTATATTGTCTGGTATATATAGTCTAAAAATAGCAAATAATAGAAAGGGCTGTTGGCAGAGTCTCCATAACAGGAGGCATTATTATCTTTAGTGCATGAATAAAGCAACACCTTTAAAAATGTGTCTTTTTCTGAAGACATATGCAAAAGTGTTGTAATTAACTTCATTTCTAATGAGGATATTGTGTCCGTTTATGCAGCTACTGCAAGTACATTTCGTTTAGTGCTCTACAATCAACTCACAATAACTTTAGTACTGTAACTAGATGTTCCCTAATCGATTTTAATTATTAATGCATCCACTATGCACTAATAAAACATGCCTGTTCTCTTCACTGGGAAAAAAAAGCCAGTTTGCTACCTTGATAGTGACGCTCTCTGAATTAGGGTTGAATCCCAAATTCCCAGGGCATAAGTAGGGGGCGATGCCATGTAGGTAACACATACAGATAATGGAGAGGGAGGGAGGAGGAAAGATTTTTGTGTTTCCTCCCTAGTAACACCTATGGACTTCAGAAAACGCTTTCTCAGAAGGACACAGGCCCTTTTGAAAGTGACAGGAGTAGAGGAAGAGGGAAATAAATAATCCTGAGATGTTCTGTCTGTGGGACTAAGCATAATGGGGGAGGTCCCCAGTACTTCACAGGGTCTGGTCATGTTTTTGAAAATGAAGCCCTGTGACCATTCCCAGAGTTAGGTATGTGCAAATATTTGGAGGCCTAACTTTTTTCTGTGGGTAGAACTGGTATTTATATGAGGCACTGCCTGATTCTATGCACATCAAGCAAGAAATATACAAACTATATTAGGAGAGTCAGCATTTAAAATGTACTTGTGCTTAAGATCCTGTGACTGATTTGTTCTTGCAGCAATTCCATACCAGTATTTAAAACAGGGAATACAAAAGTCCATTCCGTGTTTTAATTGGTACAATACCAATGTCTTCATTGGGCTGTTAACACTGTTGTAACCTGCTTGATAAGAAAAGACTGGAATTGTCTCAGAATTAGAGCTTGTGCTTTTTATTGGTTTTTTACTTTTTCATAGCTGGAAGGGCACAATGTCTTCTCCACTCTGAGCTCCAGTGAGTATGAGCAGGTTCTGGAGATCATCCGCAAAGCCATCATTGCTACAGATCTTGCCCTGTACTTTGGAAACAGAAAACAGCTGGAAGAGTTGCATCAGACAGGAGCCTTAAACCTTAAAAATCAAGCACACAGGTAACAAAAACATTACTTCTTCAAGATTTTGCATTTGCAAATGACAACAAAGAAAAGCTCAGAATTTTCACCATGCATAGAGTGTCTTTTTCACATGTAGCAACCAATGACACTAAATGCTTGTGATCCAGATATCCAAAGTGTGCCTGTGCTTTACATATAAACTTATCACATTAATGTTTCATTGTCTTTCAAAATGCTTCTGTTGATGAATTCATAAAAGTCTTGCCTGCAAGGGGAAGCTAGTATGGAATGAAGGTGTGAATTTAGAGAACGCTAACTATTCTGCACTTCTTCTCCTATGTGGATATTTTTACCCTATACTCTGCATACCTTTGTACAGCTCAGTTTAATTCTCTTTGGAAATGGACTGACCAAAATTGCCCAAGTGTTTTTTGTTTGTTTAGGGGGTGTTTGTTTTTTGGACAATGCTGAGGTCACCAATAAGATTGCAGGTCACAGTAAGTTTCATAGTTTCATAGTTGGTAGGGTCGGAAGGGACCTAATCAGATCATCAAGTCCGACCCCCTGCCAGGGGTAGGAAAGAAAGAATGCCAGGGTCAAATGACTCTGGCTAGGTGAATGTCCAGCCTCCTTTTAAAGATCCCCAGGGTAGGAGCGAGCACCACTTCCCTTGGAAGTTGGTTCCAGATCTTAGCTGCCCTGACTGTGAAGTAGTGCCTTCTGATATCTAGCCTGAATCTATTCTCAGTCAACTTATGGCCATTATTCCTTGTTACTCCCAGTAGTGCTCGGGGGAACAGGGACTCTCCCACTGCCTGCTGGTCCCCCTTTACCAGTTTGTAGACAGCCACCAGATCCCCTCGCAGCCTTCTCTTGTGGAGGCTGAACAGGTTCAGGTCCCTTAGCTTCTCCTCATAGGGCCTACCCTGCTGCCCCCTGGTCATGCGAGTGGCCCTCCTCTGGACCCTGTTGAATATGTAGTTTTGAACATGTTTCTTCTTGGCGAGTAAAACTAGGGAAGAATATTTCATTTACACCTTTGTTAAATAAAAAACTGGGTGCTGCTGCTTCACCATGTTAAAATAATCTGTATCAGGTAGCATGGAACCTTGAGCAAAGAAATTAGAATGTGGCCCAGCAAAATTACAAAAAAGCAGACATACCTTTCACTAACTAAACTCAGAAATATATACTAAAACTATTTTTTCATTAATCTCTGAATTTCAGACTTCTCCAAAAATTTGGATAAACACAGAGATTTTTTTAAATTCTATATGAAAGAATGCAAAAACATTGAAAATTACCCTTTTTGTTACCCTGAAAGCTAGGTCAGGTGATCTTTTCTTACGGTGTGCGAAACAGGCCATATTCAATTTGGATTTGACCCAAATCGGGGACAGTGATTTGATTAGTTGATTCAGATCACTGTCCCCATTTGATTCGGCCGAATCTGAATCTGAAGATTTAGTACTGATTTGGTGAATCAGCGATTTGGCCATAGACACAGCTTTAAATGTTTTTTTTCTACATACCTTGAGGAACCAGACGTGACTCATGAATGTTGTGATGCTGGGACGGATGGAGCATCCCACAGGAGCACAAGGGTTTGCCTCCGCATGCTTGGCAGCGAACCCGGAAGTAGATCAGAAATACTTCTGGTCTACTTCCGGGTCCACCGCCAAGTGTGCTGCCCCCCCTGGC